GTAGATATTTTGAAACCTTGGGAATGAAAGAAACGATTGTTTAAATAATATAAGAATAGTTCCAAGTTTTCTGGGTCATTGGGATTTGTGGATTCTGAAAATTCGGAAAGTTTCAATGAGTTTCGCAAGATGAGAGTCTGACGGATTCCACTGGGGATTTTGGAGCTGACGCAGGTACAGGAGGGTTGCTAAGACAATACTTTTCTCGCACCTATTCCATTCATCAATAACTTCTATATATACCTTCTTTAATTATTTATCGAACCTTCTTGCATCAAGTCAGAGTCTACTAAATACTTTTTAAGTTTCTTTTCTTTAAAGTAGCTGCAGACTTAAAATTTTCCAGTATCTGGAAAATTTGAAAATGATTAAGAGAATCAAGCAAAATTATAAATGAGATTGGTTCGAGATTCTCAGAAAAAAAGAAATGTTTTATATTGGTTTCAATTAGTCCAAGGCCATCGTGATCTTAATTGCTTCGAAACCGCTTATGCCAGTTACAATGGATTTGCGATTGTCTACCTTGAGCTTGACTGACTCGAAATTGTATCAGTATTGGTTCAATTTCATACCCGGGTGATAGGTATTCAGCTAGGTGTATTACGGATTGGTTCCATTAACACATTTGTAATTTAAATTTGATCATCCCAATCGTCTTGGCTGCCTAAAATCGTGTATATTCATCAGAACAGATTCAGGATCATCCAGGACACTACTAGTTGTCTTGAAATTGCTCGTATTAATCTCAATTGAAATTGTGCTGTCCATATATTGGTTCCAATTAATCTAGAACTCTGCCACTAGATGTTCCACTTGATCCTAGAATTTTCCTAAAGATCCCAGTTGATTTCAAGTTGCATTTAAGAATTAAATTAATGCCGAGTTGCCTTTGAAGATCTCATCTGTTACTGTGGCAAGTCTAATTGATTTCGAGGTGTTTGTACCAGTCCTGGTCAGTTCTAGAATCAACTACACTATATGAAGTTATTTTGATATATAAATTACTATTCGTATTAAATTATCTTATCTATTGTTAGCTGGAAAGTCCCGTTGTTCTCTTCGGTGAAACGATACAAGACTGAAAGTTCTAAATTAATAATTACACATTTAGCAAAATGTAATCAAACAAAGTAAATAATACGTAATTTACGGAGATTAATTTAACGAGGTAAAATTTGTCTTCAAATTTTATTAAACAAAAAACGACGAAACTTTTAACTAACATAATATATAGAATTTCGTTGCTCAAGTGTTCTTTGTATTGAATTCTATTGATCTTACAGAGTTCAGATTAGATCCATAAGTTTATGTCTCTCCGCGTTAAGTCTCACTGACCCAGAATCCTTTGAAATCCAGTTAAACAACTGGTTTTCCGTCTGTCGAGTCTCGATCTCGAGCGATCGTTAATCGATGTGGAGCGGCTCCACGATTCACGATGATTCAACATGCGTCTAATAGCTACAGGCTACCGAGAAGTGAATGACTTAGAATTAGTGTCCGAGCCGCGCGCGACCCACGCATGAAAGACGCTGACTTTCACCTATTCAGCTCTGCCGGACGACCCACAGGATTTCTTTCCTCTTGCGTTCTTAAACGATCCTAAAACACCCAGTTGTTTCTTATGCAATCTTTTTTAAATACGACACTGCGGGCTGTTGCTTCACGTCGATAAATTCTTCGACTGTGTGCTAATAGAAGGATTCTAATCGCTGTACTGTAAAGAAACGTGCTAATCAACGACTGTAGATTACTTTTACTGCTTTAGTTTCCTTTCCCTTTTCGAATATTTTCATTCTTTATATTTTAATACCTTTTCTATATTATATATATATATGTAATGTACATCAGTATTTGTAGATACTGAAGTGTCATCTTAGTGAAAGTATCTTTCTCCAGTGTTTTGGCAGATTTACAGAGTTTCGAGGTATAGCGTAATAATTATTGTATCTTTACGAATGCATGTTTGAAAATATTTTATATTTTAGAATGCCATATTTGAAGAGTACCATTGGAGTTACTGATAACCCCTACCGAATCAAATCACTATAACTCAATTAGTCGATGATTATATGCAAATCTTTCTATATTATAAATAATGCAACCTAATGCGTTGATATTCAACTAGATAAGCGTGCAATATGATAACGCGATTCAATGAAGTAATTTGATATTAAATTCTTTTTGTTTTGCATTTTTCTTCGTGAAATCATTTAGTATTCGACGTGTCAACAAGTCTTCGGATAACTGTAGAAAATGCACAAAATTGACTTTTTCTTATTCAACAGCAAATGGATTAATATTTCATCTTCAGTCCGCAGGTCGGATGAGTCACTGTACGATGCAGGAATTTAGAATTGAAAATAGTGACGCAACGTGTGTATAACTGCACCGAAAAGAGAGAGACAATGGGTAACCATCGCAGTTCATCCGAAGCGGTGACTAATGCCTGCGTTCCCGCGTTAAACAGTTTCAGTGACGTTGCAGAAAAACACACCGTAGAACGCGCGCAACGTTTCATCGCGAACGAGCCGCGAATTCTTGGGAGTCATAACACAAGGCTCGCTTTATTGTATATTATCGGGAAATCACTTGATGGCAAGGCTGAGGAATGTGGGTCTCATTGATCAGTTTTCATTTTTTCTCGCCTCATTTTCGATACTAATCTGCTATTGGTCAATATGGTTACACGTAAACGATCAAAACCATAAAGAAAATCCGTAGCAAGAGAGCCCTCTTGTCCCCGTGCCGTTCTGCTAGACATCAAGTGATCTCCCAGCAGTAAGTACTGTTAGTCTCTTTCTTCCATAGTAGCGACCATCAAGCTTGCACGGGGGCAAGATGAGACGTCCACACAAAGCGCTCGGCCCGGTGGTTATGGCGGCTTAGTTTTGGCACGAATTGTTATTGGTTAAGTCGAGCAGCGAAGAACGCAAGCGAAACAAAATGCGATAAAGTGAGATGTACGAACATTGGCGTCGCATTTCGTTTCTGCACGACGAGAACTTTTTGTGTTTACCGGATCCCGAAGACCCGGAGACTCGGCTATGTTTCCTAGAAGGATCCAGGTGGGATGATGCAGTTGATTCCCCTTGCCCCTGTGCAATTTTAGTTTGGCGGTCGCTACTATGGATGTACGATTGAGACAACGTGGTGGTAGTAAACATTAACAAAAGTTTATTACTCTAAATGGTTAACAGGTGAAAACAGGTGTGTATCTGCCGATGCTCACTGAAGATTTCTTTAGACTACGTTTACACTCTCTATACTATTCTCGATTTCGCTTATCCTGACTTCGACTACGTTCATACTGTCTATACCTTTTACACTGTCCTCCCGCTGAGTTCGCACGCCCTTTTAACAGTCATCCCCAATCACTCTTTCCTTTTCTTCATAGACATCTCTTTTCACTAGCGCCCTGTGCCTTGCATCAATAGCTAACATTCTCACAGTTAAGTGTACACTTTATTAATCACGTTATTCGTACGGTCCAGTCCACGGTTCACACCTCTTCAGCCACTCGAATCATCCTATCTGCAGTCATACTTTCGCTAAACATACCGGCGCCACCCCGTCGTAAAACGACACTGGCCACAAGTCGAAACAGTCAGTCATTTATACCTTAAGAAACTAAACCTTACAATACATAGTACTTTGATCGATCGACAGACTCTTTTGACTGCGGGTGGTTGTCGCTTTCGTCGCAGCGCGCTTCCCGTCCCTACATAGAGAAAAGAGGCGGACAGTACAGTCCACCAATCGTGAATTGGCCGATTATCCACAAGCTAAAAGTACACACGAGCAAGGGGACTCGGTCACATGTTTTAACTTGGTCCTTGCAGGTCAAATGAAAGAAACTGAAGGGAATAGAGTTGCCCCCACCATGACGTTACCGGCAGTTCTACGGTTGTTTCAAGGGAGTCGTAGAAGAGGTAGGAAAGAGTGCGAGACAGGTCTTGATCTGGCCACACTGGTTACATCTCACTTCATCACATTATATTCCGTTTGCTTCCTTCGTCATGCGGCTCGGCCAATTACAACAATGTGTCACATCCGAGGTGTCACAGTTATTCTACAGCTATTAACGCGAGCATCCTGAGTGGAAAAGTCCCCTGGCCCCTGTGACTTTTTAGCTTGAGGGTGGTTGATTAACTCACGATCTGTGGATGGTACATGCAGATGTTCCTAGAATTAGAGTGACATCCTTGCGCACGAAGTTTTCCTCGCGCAATTATTACGAAGCTTGTAGGTCGCGGGAAAGGGGAATCAAGTAACGTTCATCTATCTCGTATAAGGATTGATCGTCAGTAGAATCGTTTTTTGCTGGATGACTTGCCTCGCTGGTGCCCGTAAGATGCTCAGCTTGGATTTGGTGTGCCCTGATTTCCATCTGAATATCTAGTGGTTGATGACGTTTGATGATTCCTGTTCTTTGCAGACGAATGATGCTGTAATGAAGTTTTCGGGCTTTGATGTGTACAGTGGAATGTTGCAAATGAATGAGATAATTATTTAAATAAAGAGAGACTGATGTAATTAAAAAAAATTTAATCTACATAAAAGGGTTAACTATGGTATTCCTTTTTTTACAATCGTATATATGTATTTCAGACGTTTAGAAACCAAAATGACTCCACTTTCTTAATTATTTCAAAGCTCAACGCCAAAATATTTATTTGATGCAGAAATAATATTATTTTACGAATTCTATCAACTTTTATTTTATAAAATTATTTACTTTGACAACTATGTAGATGGCTCATTTAGTCTCCTTTCAACACATATTAGAATTTTATAATCTACATATTAATATCTTGTCAGATACGTATTCAATGCTCACATAAATATTTATATATAATGTAATCTAAACATTTATCCATCAAATGTGTAAATTAAGTCTGTAAATGTTTATATATAATATAATACAGATATTTATTCATCAAACATACATATAAATCCTACATGTAAATGTCTATATACATCGAATGCAATATTTGTTGCAGACACGAAAGTAACGCTTTTAATCTCCTTGAGCTTCCTCTCGGCGACTGTACTGGGTTTGCCAAATGGAGCGCCGCAAAGCGCATGCAAGGACTTGACGCCCCGTCACCCCGGAGGCTCGAACCAGGAATCACATCCTCCGCCTTACCAAGTGCTGCCGGCTGCGGGACAAGGCAGGGTCCGCCTGATTCTGGGAAGCCCCCAGGGTCTCGCCTATGAGGGCTTCATGATACAGGCGCGCGACGCAGAGAGCGACGAACTCGTCGGGGAATTCGCGAATTTGCCTGAATCAGCGCAAACCATCGAGTGCACGGACGGTGTGAAGGTAAACTCGCATGACCGCGTTCCTCGTACGTTTCCGCGCGGCGAACGGAACTGATCACTCCGGTTAGTTAGAGGATCTCGTTTCTTGACGATCGGGGACAATGTTCTTCAACGCGTCGCGTACAGGGTCACAGAAGACCTTGCTTTCACGTTTCATTGTACTCGTGACTGTTTGATAGATTTCGAGAAACACTTGATTAATTATGATTAATTGTGATCAATTGAACGATTATGCTGAATTATGCTGAATTATGATAAAATGATTAAGCATGGTTAACTATGACGAATTGATTAATTATGATTAATCAGTTCATAACAATTAACCATGATTAATCAATTTTTCTGATTAATAAGTTATACTGATTATATCTGACAATATTGATTAATTAAGATTAATTACAATATATTAATGTGTTGATAAAAAACTTGGAATCGTGTGTTGCTAGGTTGTGGTTAAAATCTAGAAGAAAGCAAATATATACTACGTTTCAAATATTTTTTATAATTAATTAAAACACAGTAGAATTGACTTTAATAAGGTACAATATGTTTATGACAATGTTTATCACAATTTTTAATTTTTGTCCTCGATTTTCGAAACGAGTGTACGAAAATGTGAACTTGAATAGAGATTTCCAGTGTAGTAATAACAACGTGATGTTGTTATAATATTGATTTGTTTCTATTGTATAGAAATATTGTGTATATATATATTGTGATGTTGTTATAATATGTATTTGTACATCCCAGCATTAAAATCTCCAAAAAAACTGCCCTGACTTCTCCAAGCGATTTTAACACTAGAACTATTGAGCAGTTAAATTGGTTTTATTTGACTTTCTTTTAAAAACTCTATAAGTAAAATTTTTAACTTACATCTCTCCGTCAGTATAAAAATTAAAAAAATAGACTTCATCTACCGAAACTTTGTACCATTTACAACTCAGTTTGCGTATTACTGGATCCGTTTCTTTAGTAACTCCACAAAGATGTATTTGTAGCCTTTTTAATAATTGTAAAAAACGAAATAAAACAATCGATCGTTTTGACACTTCCGGTAATTTTAGTGTCAATTAATGTCAAGGAAAGGTTTCTTCGAGAAACTAACGTGGTAATGGTTCACTGATTGGAAACCCCGATAAATTCGTAACAAACGTGTCTGCGGTAATATCGTTCCGATCGCGACGAAGGTTCACAAGGCTGAATGACTCATGTGTCCCGCGTTTCTCGAAGGACGCGGTGTTAAGGTTTTACCAACCGGATAAAATATTTTCCTTGTACTGTTAAGAACACGGTGACTCACACGAACACCAGCAAGAAGCACAATCTCGAGTTCGATTGGGAGGCACCGGCGGATTACGAGGGAACCATTGTCTTCAAGTGAGTATTAAGCGTCCCGCGCAGGATGTCCCCAAACGAGGGGATATTAGCTGGGAGCCTAACGCACAATAATGAATAATGATTTCAGTACATGTATCTTCGTAAACACATTCTTAAACAGTTATTGTCAATATATCTTCTGCATAACCATTCTCGCGTGCTACGCCATTTTTCTCTTGAGATCCGAACTAGCTGAACGGTTCAAATAGTTGTAATGATTAGCCTTTAACCGTTGAGTTGGAAGATTAAAGTAATACTGTTAGATAATGCTACTATCTCTTAATTATAAATTGTTATTAATTATTCATTGAAATAATAATCATATATTAGTTATTAAAACATAGTTATACATTAAATAACGAATTGCCACGAAACGAATTTGGACACTTCAGGGTTAAAATAGGAAAAGAAAAATGAATTTTGTCAAATATAGTATACAAAATTTCCAAGACTAATGTTCTAACCAAAAATTTATAAGTTTTGCCACTATCCTTCTTGAGAACAGTTTTCTTCCTCCGTTGTTGCCTCTGTTAATTTCCGAGGATTCTGAATGTTAAAGGTGAACCGAGGGAAGTTCCGGGCAAACAGAATTTATGAGAAATATGTTTACCTTGATTTAGACGTACGTGGTACGGCTAATGCGGCATGACTATACGGTTGTTGGCCGCCTAAAGGGAATAACTGATAGGCATGCGGAAGCAAGGTTAAATCGAGTCACGAAAATCAAGTACCAGCGCGTACTTTCACATTAAATTTCCTCATAATCTCTGTCAGGTTGTCACGACCTGTTGGATCTAAAGGTCTTCCACTTTTTAGCGTCGGCTCGAAACAATACGCCGTTCTCCCGTTCATTAGATTGTAAATTCTGTATCAATTAGAACGATTGAAATGTAATGTATGCTTTCATTCGATTCGATTCGATCCTTCCTGTTCTTGTTGGTAGATTCAGAATTTTCATTGTGCAGATAATAAGCATAACGTATATTTCGTATTTTCAAAAAAATATATTCGTTGGATTTCGAAATCAATCTTTCCTTTATGTGTTCGTTCCAGTCGTAAATAATGGTATTGATGATAAAATAGAGTTAAAAAAATGTAACGAAAAAAATCTATTTTCGAAAGGAAATTTCGTATTAGATCGTGATGTGTCTAAATATAAGTAAAATAAGTGTTTTCAATGGTGATTTTGCAAATATTTTCACAGATTTTAACACTGGATTTATAGACACTGATTTATACTTCATTGCATTAATTTCGAAATAATGGTTGTAATACTGTATAAGTAGTCAAAACTTGGAGATTGCAGAACTTAAATCTAATTTATGTTTTGTACATATAACTACATCAATTGAAGACAACACAAATCTCAACACAAAGCATTATTACTTCCAAAAGACTACAATCAATCTCTCTGAATGCTGCACATTTATATTAACCACAGAACCTTACTCCACGCTTCCCTTATCAACCTGAATTTACCCAATTCGTATACCCAGCATGAAACACTAAATTTACGTACAAGACAGAACATTCTCGTGGTCGCAAAACAAAAACCACGAAACTGATTATCGGAAACGACAATAATTCCACAAACGTATCGCTCAAATCTCTCAAGACCGTACTACAACGCGCAATCGTTCAATTACTCGAAGAAACATATCACGACAGGCAACATCTATCATTGCCTTCGTAGTAATAGAACTTCCCCGAATGTGGGAGAAAGGAAAAAGGGAAATAAAAGGAAAGAAAATGGGAGGGGAACACGTCGATTCGTATTCCACATCTCGCCAGATAAGCGTATAAATTACGGGCTTCCGGGTCAATGTGATGTAACCCATTACCATCCAGGCGTGGGAACAAAAGATAACAATGTTGAGAACCGGAGAAACGCAGCGGAATGAAGGGGGAAGGGGTGTTGGGCGGCGTTAATGCTAAAGAATCATTTCAAAAATTCGGAGAAGTAATGTTGGGTGATCACTTGGTGGCTGGGTCGAGGAATGCAGGTATAATTGGTCGGTTTATATTTAGTATCATTTCAATTTGGATGCTAATTTGCTATTCGTCGATTAGGTTACACATAGTGTTGTAGAAATTAGTCCTCAGCCTTGAACTTTAAAAGTTGTAGCCGGGACTCAAGCCTTAAGAGTTAGAGCCCTCAGGGCTAAAGCCTTGAACTATAAAAGTTGAAGTCTTTATGCCTGAAGATATTGTACGGTATTAATAAAGCAACAGAAAATTTGATTCTTTGAGGACTTAAGCGTTGATGGCTATTAAAGCTTAAATCGAGTTTTCAAAGTTCTGAAGCTTCAGAAAAAGACTTAGCCTTTAAGATTAAACCTTTGAAGAGTTAGCCTTTAAGATTGAGTTTTGAAGCTTCAAAGACCTTTCTTGTCCTTGTGCCACTTTGCTACACATCAAGTCATCTTCCAACAGTACACGACGTTCGAAAGACAGTTTCACGCGGAACTGATTGTTTATAGTTATTGGGGCGGCGAAGTTCTAATGGGGGCCTGGCGATTTGCCGCGCCCCGTATTAATTGAGTATTCAGCGAAGAACGGGCCGGCTGGCACCGATTATGAGCGGAAAAGTTTATAACGAACGTCCCCCAACCGAGTCGGCCCGCCTCGCACCGTTACACGCGTTATATTATATTCCGCGCACGGGGCCGATGTAACCCGTGCCGCGTGCCACGCGCTCGCTCCTAATCGTAATTCATATGCCGACAGATCGCGGCGTGTTACGTGCCCGAGCCGCGCAACGCCGCACTCTAGACCTACGAGTTCTGACCCAGAAATTAAACGTCCAATTAATCGTCGTCGCTACCGTGCACGCGCCCCGTACTCGGATTTCGTGTCGGAAAATTGCGCCGGTTGCTTCACTGCTCGTTAAAGCTGCTGTCATTGTACGCTTCGATGGTATAGAAACTGACAGGATGAAATTTTTTGGGGCGACGGAGGGCGAGCGTTGATTTTCAACGTAGGATTTGTGGAAATGGAATTAGACAAATGTACTTTAATTGTTTGTTACTGATAATTGGATTTAATCAGATTTTGTAATTGTTCGCGGTTATTAATTTATTATTGGGGTTGAAGAGATTGTAGTTAGTACTGATTAGTGATTATTTAGGTGTATAAGAGATTATGCCTTTTATGTAGCATTTTGTTTAAAGTAACGTTTTAATTAGAAATAACTGTATTTTTTATGTTGTTTGTTGATATTTAAATTATTTTTAGAGGTTTAGTCAAATTAATGTTACTCCCATTATATTTCATCCCTTTGCGGACGAGAATTACTTAAACTTTTAAATAATTAAATTACCCATTTGTAGCTTCCACATTTAGATATTGAAGCTCAAAGTCTATTTTATGGTGGCATTCAGCCATAAAGAGTTAATATTTTTGTTCTTATTATTAATTAACTACATTTGCATAAAGTTCTTATATATTGAATCAATTAATATATCATACAATGTAATGTTATATAAGTTTAATATAATGTTTCATTAATTAGAACTGAAATATTTACAAAATCACCAATTTCAATAACAAGGTTTATGAAATTTCATGTATTTATTAGTCGATCGAGTCTGACTCGAATCTTCCTATTCTCCTTTCACCGATCGTACTAAGATTCCCTCAGTGATCATAGCCACCGATTCCTTCCTGCCGCAGGTCGACTTTCGCGCAGGATTACAGTACGTACTGGGTCAACGTGGAATCACCGAGAGTCAACGTTAACAAAAGATCCATCGACGTGCTGACCTCCTCCACGCCGATCACCACGCTCAGAACAACCACGCCGCCCTATTTCAGCCCGACCGTCGATCACGAGGTAAGTACTCTTTCTATTACAGCGCTCCAACCGCCGATCACGAGGCAAACGTGCTTTTCACACCCGATAATCATACCCATCGCGATCGATCACACACGGAAAACAAGGGAAGTGAAATCCTCGGGTGTAACGATCTACGAAATTAACGTCTCTTTCTCGACATCAATGTAACTAAATGACAGTGTAACTTGTTTTTGAATAACTAGTTTTACTTATTATTGAAGATTGTTGGGAGTATTAAAAAATGATTTATCGTTTTTGATATGTTATAAATTGCTTTTAAGTTGGTTGTTGATAAACATAGTGTAGGGTGGTGGAAAATATTATAGAATATTGATAGATATAATATCTTCCTTATTAGACTGCAGAGTTTACACTGGAAGAGCTTATTTTTTAAAAGTATATTATATTAACAATATCGGGATCTTTCGACCTACCTAGAGTTTAGAATCCAGCCAGATACCTGTTTACTCTATGAAATCAGAACATTTCTTAATCACACAGTCATGCATTCCAACGGCAATTTAAAATGAAAATCCTTTATCACAATTTCGTCTATAAATAGAAACAGATATTGTATAAAATCTATACATAGTAAAACAAACAAAAGTAAATTTTCTCATAGAAAGTAAATTTTTTAATTTTAATTTTAATTTTTTATTTTTTAATTTTTTAATTTTTTCTTCTTTCAGTTATATTATTCTTAAATAATATCATAAAAAAAGTATTTATTTTCTTTTCACATTCTTACTTTCATCCCATATTTTTATATTTAGCACACCAGCCAATTTTGTAATCTATCAGTAGTTCCAGGTCATTTTTACAATGTCCTTGGTGAAAATGAAAACATGTTGTAACATAACAATGTTATAATATAACATTAGATGTTTGATCTTCCTTCTTAGGATAAAATTCGCATGTATGATAAATACAATAATCTTAGGTTAACCTTTTCAACTTCGTTCACTAAAATATTTAATACTATAAATTGTGTCATAGTAGAGTCTATAGAGTGCAAAGGATTAATGAACTTTATATAAAATAATAAATTCCTAAACTATAAACTTAAAAATTAGTCTTTCCTCATAGAGTACTATCGACATACGTGAAAAAATCTAAAAAAAACGATGCCCCGAGGTAAAAATTCAACCTAAAGAAATTCCACGAATTGTTCTCACGTTGATCATCGAAGATTTCGTTGACGGTAGTAGAGAAATTTTGCGCGAGGGCTGTTGGTTCATTTATGAGTCGAAAGTATGTTTCGCTTTTTAACGAATATCGCTCGCCGGTTGGTCCTATGTATTATGCATGTTACGGTACGCGCACACTATGCAGTTAACTGTGTAGAAACGCGTAATTTGCGAACGGGCGAGATACGTTCTCCGCTTTATGGTTTATGTACTTTCGCCGGTGTTCACTTTCATATCAGCCGATCCGGCGGACTATGCCCGTAATTCTTCATCGGTCCGCTTTTTGCGAGATTTTATTGTCTGTAGGTGCAGATCCACTGGCGAGTAATTTGCAGAATTTTTTTCTGTTAGCGGCTCTAATGGCGCGTGTGACGGCGCTTGAGATTGCTGGTAATAAGTTCAATTCATTTGTGATCGCAATAAAATGAAATGGAAGTGTGAAGGCTTTTGCAATAGGAAATAATATCGCGAATTTCTTGCTAGTGTTTCTGTACCTTATTAATTCAAGTAACATCTAAGGAAAATGGGATTCTAATGATTCACCGTATTAAAATGTATTTTAAGATTTAAACTTTGAGGAAACGAAAAATTTAATCTATTAAAGATGAATGTTGTCGTTCTGAAGACATGAAACTTTCATAATTGGAATACAAAATTGCAAATATCTAAATAGTTTAACACTAACCATATCGTGAATCGGTCGTATGACCGGTTTTAAAATTTGATTTAAGATTCTGCGTTTTCTTTTATTCATTAAAATTTATATCAATTCCTAGATTGTCCAGTTAATTAGTTTTTCAATTTTTGTCTTCCCTATTGCTTCTATTTCCATCAAGAAAAATTTGTTATCGAATTTGTTTACCTTTATTTTATAGCCAGTTATTTAACTGGCCATGGTAGGAATAGGTATACACAAAGTGCCGATACGGTTAGTATTAGTTGTTCAAATAATAAGAGTTCGATAGGTAGTTCGTTGTTTTTTCTAATATTTGGGAGTTCGATATATAACTTAGCTTGCTCTGTTACATTTTCTGAGTATTTAAAAAAATCCTTGTCTGCAAAGATAATTATTTAACACCATTTCTACCGAGCTATCAAAAGACATCTTCCGAAATTTTCAGTTAAAACTCTTTTTCAAGTTTAATCGTATACTCAGAATTGGCTTGTCAACTTTTTCAATAACGATTATGAAAATAAGTATAGGAAATGTCGAAAATTTAATGGAGGAAGGATTATTAACCCTTTTAGTGCCGAACGACGATATATCGTCGTTCGCAACACTTGCGAAAAATGCTAGCGACGATATATCGTTGCGCATCCAATAGAGCCTTACTATTCGCATTGCGGGAGAACTCTGTCTCAAAATAAATTTATAAAACGTTATAAACGGTTTAATTTCATTGCAAGAATTTTTTTTGAATTATGTAAATATCATTTTTAGTTTGGTTTTTATGAGCTTTTTCCCAAACCTTAGTAAATTCGTCCGGTTATTTTCGCACAGGCACCCGTTTTTTGCCTGACACTAAAAGGGGTTAAAGTGAGAAGATAATTTTAAGCGAAAATTGTCTTCTGACACCTTCGGTAGAAATAGTGTTAAATGATAAGAGACCAATAGATAGTTCTCTATTTCTTTACTGTTTAATTAGTCAATATATAATTTAACTTTTCGTGTCGAATGTTTCGAATACTTTAAAAAATCTTTGTCTGTAAGAGGTTAATTAGTATAGAAGATCTGCGACACCGCTCCAAATGTTTCTTTCTTGGATGATTTCTAATTTTCTAATGTAGAATAAAGCATATAGTTATAAGGAAATAATTTTAAGGAAAATAAACGAATATATTTTTAGCAATAGATAGAACCACATAAATAAAGGAAATAAATAAAAAAAATGTCTGTGAAACAAACCGCGAACAATGGGAGTTCTTCTCACGGTCTTTCATAATCATTAACGCGGCGGATCGTCGAGAACCTTCTGCAATTATGCTAAAAAGTAGCTGTTCGCAGTTATCAAGGATTTAATTGCATTGAACGTAATTTAATTGAAACGAACGTTTACTGCTATACACTTAAGACGCCGTTTTATTTAAAATTTGCAGAATAGAACTGTGGCAGTAAAATTTATGGAAAAATTACTTGTGTCGTATTAAAGAAAATATGTATTGTTTTGATTGATGTACAGTGAAAAAGTACAACATGTTATTCGCTAAATAACTGGCTTCATTTTGCTATAATATATTCCACAGAATAATCACGGGAAAGAAATTATTTTAACGATGCGTTGAAATAGTGGTTCCCTGATTTTTAAGGAAACGAGTAAATGAAAACTTTAAGAAATTTTAATGTGAAAGTCATAGTCCTCTTTTCTCAGTAAATTCATTGTTTGATTGGAAATAGTATAACCGCTTAAATATCTACGTTGAGTAAAATAATGATTTCGAGGCAAACAAATACTATTTAAATGTATTATGGCAAACAGATCGGATCGACCGGTTCGCAAAAGAAACGCAGACTCACCTTCTTGAGTTTTCCCAGTCACTCGACATAATTAATACAAAAACTCACGCATCTTTGCGCAAGAAAACTCGGCAATTACGAAAGCAATTACTCGAGTCCATACAAAACCACATTACCGTCGGCCGAATGTAAATAAAAAGCGTAAAAGTATAGTAGTGGGTTGAGTAACGAGTACTAACAGTCGTGGCACTGTAATTACTCTGTTCGCGGAGTGTGTCTAAGTTGAAGGTTGGTCATCATACTTTTCCTGTCAAGACAACGGGCCTCCCTGTGAGCCTACCCATGGCTCATCGTGCCTGTAATTAACCATCGGGAAAAGATAACCAACCGGTCTAATGGAATGTTTGAGACGGTTTCACAAATCTTCGGGAGTCACTTACGAACCATTTATTCGTCGAAGTGATTGACTCTTCAAAATAAAAAGTGGAAGATGATATTACGTGCATGAAAAATTTGACAACACTCGATAAACGGGGTTAATTGCTTTGCCCTGTGAGTGAGCCATATAATTCTTTAACAAAATGTTATATGAACAGAATGGCAAGAATTATTTCAATGTCTCACAATCTGGTTCTTATTTCTACTTTTTCGGTTAGTGATTGGTTTAAAATACGTTTATAAAAATTGTAGACTTTTGTACATGTACAGATATTTTTTTATAGATTTACAGAAGTGAATATTCTTCTCCTTAATACATATTCTCCATAAATTACGTACCAGAAGTATTAATAGTTTCACGTTTCCTCATATATTCTTCGTGTTCTAAATTTGACACACAACAGTATGCATTACTAACACTAAAATGTATAGAAAATTCTATGCACTGCAATAAATCAATTTTTAACACCTTGCCATACAATAACGAGTGAGACTTGTGACGAAGATTTTTAGATTAGATTAAAAAACTATTTTGCTACTACCAATTTACTAGCTTTAAAGTAAATATGGACTTACAGTGGAATAGAACATTTCTGCGCGTTCATTTCAAAATGTTGATAGTACGATGTTGCACGAGTTTAGTAACAAACATAAATAATATGGCAATGAGTTAACGTAATTCATAAAAATTTTAAAGTAACAAGTGGAGGATAAGAATATAATTGTCCATTATCCATTGATTTCATTTATCGCTATTACATGATCCAAACAAATTTGTGCTCCCTTGTTGTCCTTAGTTATCAGTTATATTTTATCTTAACACGAAAATACAGAGTTTTCAGATTTCATTTCTTTTCATCGTATTACCCAAATAAATTCGTGCTTCGTTTCCGAGGCAGCTAGTAAAAAACCGATGCACAGTGGTCGATTTGGTCGTTTTAGGCGGCTAAAAGTGAATTTCAGGAATTTCGCCTAAGCTGAACAATTTTTGCTCTTCGAAATAGTTGAATGTGTGAGAAATAAGGTACCAATTGTTTTTATTCATTCTTGCACTCATAAACTCGTGTGCTTTTTTGAAAGTTCGGAGTTTTCGTTACGCACGATTTGCTCTTCTAATACTTCAAAACATTTTTGTGTGTTTCAAAGAAATTGTGTATACCTTTTTCCAAAATGAACGTTTCTCAGGAAAATATATACTATACTTTTGATAGTATGTGATTCGTTTATTATGTATCTTTGTGTTGTTATTTATATTTAAGCGTGATTTATAATCAATGATATTCCTTACAATTGTAATACTTCATGAATAATTTTGTTATACTGTCCTGTGAGATCCGGCCATCTATCAAGCACGATTATATTCGGCAAATATTTGTGTTTATTATGCACAAAAAATTTACTGATATTTGCTCTTTTTGTTTTTCAAGAATTTTTTCTAAAGTGCGATACGAAGCGTTCAAACGCCCGGGCGCCGCCATATGCTCGCATAATTAACATTTATTAACCTATTCTATATTATATAATTGATTGTAATTATATATTATTACCTATTGCGTTATTTTTATTTATTATATACTATGTAATGTTACTCATTCTATATAAATATGCAACTTTTTATATATATAAATATAATATTTAATATTTATTCATTTATTATGTACTTCATAACTGATTATTATTATATATTATTATATATGTAATCATATTTTCTCGAAAAAAAATTCAACATGTACGTATTTTTAACTTTGGCCAGCTAAAACGCCCAAAATCGGCCACTGTGCGATACATGAATCGCGATGATTCTGGATCGTCTCGCATGACACGAAAACGACACTGCCCTGGGTGAACGTTTCACTCACGGTATCGTCGCTGCCGTGCCAGATTGACGGCGCGATGAATGAAAAGATACGGGTCGACGTCTTTTTTGCGTATCGTCCTCATTAACCGGTCCACTTTCGAAACAAGATCAGCGTGAGAAAAGGCACCGCGCGGATCCCCCTGGTTTCTCACTTGGAAACTTTATTGAGGAGTTTCCAGAGTAGGTCTGAACTACTCCATTAAACTGCTCGACGCTGGTTATACAGAACACAGTTACACACGTACACTGCACTGATAAGAATACACATATTGTGGAATCGGATTCCTTCGGCCGGAAATATCTTGGTATTTTAGATGAAAATAAATCTTTCGGAAGACTCACCGAACTTTCCAGCGGCTGATTTATGCCCGACAATAAATGTAACATGGTGAATGATGATGTACACCTCTGCCAACTCTTTTCATTAAGACGGATCGACTGCCAAATTGATTTCGGGTTATTTATGTGACGAACGTCGAACGATTTTTCTTCCAATGTTTTTTTTTGTGTGCAGAAAAGTATTTTCATGTCCGACATGTATTGAATCGATATTTTTGTAATTTAAAATTTTTCTATTTAATACTCAACGTATCGGTCAAATGGCCGGTTTAAAAATTTTGCGTTTTCCTTCATTTATTTAACTTCATATTAATTGCTGTATTATCAGATTTCCAATTTTTGTCTTTCTTTTTGTTTCTCTTTTTATTAAGAACAATTTATTGTTTGTCCTGTTCATGTTTATTTTGTAACCAGTTATTCGACTGGTTACGGTAGGACTAGGAATATACAATTTAACGTTAAAACTAGAGCAGTTGTTAGAATGAAATAAAAATGTGTATAGGAAAAATGTTTCAAAAGAATATTGTCAACTCCTAAAGAAATGTGTAATGGAGAAGGAAACTAGTGTTGAAAATTTTTTTGCTTAACATAATAATCAGGAATTGAAAACAGTTATGCTATCGGTTTCGGTTCTTGAAACAGTTATGAAGAACCTAAATAAGTTATAACTGTTATTCGGTATATCGGTTCCGGTTCTGGTTCTATAAATGTTATTTTTCGGTTCTTCATTTCAATTCTTCATAACTGTTTCAAGAATCGAAAAATGATACTTATAATAAAACTGTTCTTATATCACTTATATTATTTTTCATATTACATTGGTTCTAGAGAACCGGAACCGATATAGCTCAGAACCGATATACCGAGTAACAGTGATGACTTATCAGTCGAACAGTGATGTTCTCCATAACTGTATCAGTCGAAACCGATATATAACAGTTTCAAACAGTTATTTTCGGAACTTTCCTAATCCCTGGTAATAACTGTGAACGTGCTGTTATCGATGTTTTATTTTCGATGATTCATTCATTCATTTACAATGAACAGAAAATTTTTTTGTGAGTTATTACTGGTAAAATAATACAGTCGAGCATAGTCATAAAGAAGATTATATGACAAGAGGTTAATCATGAAGAACATTTTTTCAGTTATAATTGCGGGGTTCGTTTGCATTTCAGACGAAAGAATCGGAAGACTCTATATACACCGGATGTGGCTCCGAAAAGAACTGCTTCGGTTCACCCGCAGGATGCATAGAGGCCAAAAACTGCAAGGCAATGGTCGCGGTGCTGGTTCGTGGCGAGAGATATCTCTTCGAATTGCAAGCACATGACAGTAAATATGTCGCTGTTGGTTTATCCAACGACAGTTACATGGTAACGTCATTCTGCTAATAACTTATAATTGAGCTACGGATTTTTATGTATTTATACGAAATTTGAGACTGCAAAACCATATATAAACTATTTAAAGTGTAGTATTTTCTACAGTATTTACCAGGGAAAGTTATTTTTTTGTCGTTATGTTTTTATACATTTGAATTTACATAAGGATCCGTAGTGTATTACTATTCGTCGTTAGAAAGAAATTCAAATTTTCTTTCGGTATCTTTTCACGTTCAAATAAATTATCTTGGTACATAAAAAAGACGATAATAAATGAGGGTAAGTGATAAATTCTATATTTTGAATATAATAAACATAATAACTTAATTTTCATGAATGTCAAATACCAATGACGATGAGCATTTTGTTTTTTCGTGAAAAATACAGTAATTTAGCTTTATTATACTTTTTTCACATTTATTATAATTTATGTAGAATTTATCACACTTTATAAAAGTAATTTATTTTTCACTATTAATATTGAAAATATTAGAATTTTCCATGCAAGACTGGTGATAATAAATATTAGAAAACATTGGGATTTTCCTTGTAGGGCTGATAATAACATAGAAATTCATTATCCAGCATGTTCCCTATAGAATTCACTAATTAACTCGGATTACAATTCGTTCCTGTAGCAATTGTACAACACGAATGTTTTGTAATAATCACGCTAACTAAATTTATGGGATTAGAGGCGTTCGTAGATCGCAGTAGCCGTGATTTCCATAACTTGAACGTCGCGCGATTATTTAATCCTTTCTGTCTGATACAGGGCGACGATAGCGTGGTTGAGTGCACGAACGAAGACGGAGAAATAGCATTACATATGTCTTGGAACTCGGGGAAGACCAATAAGCGGCTGCCCATGGTACGTGTCACGATATTCGCAACGTTGAAACCTTCCCGCGGCGTTATTATTCCGTCGAGCAACATAATGATCTGTCAAAACAACGAGTTTCGTTCGATTACACTGTGGAACAAATTTTGACCTATGTTAGTTTTTTGCAATAGCCACTATGTAATTCTTATAGAGTTCTTTACCCTAAATACGAATCCGAAAACCAAATTGCTGGGTCAGGTCCAGTTTTCGAAAAAACTGGGATTTTGTAAAAACGGTCGAATTTTTCAGAAAACCAAGTGTTACGTGAAAACTAAAAACGATAGGCAGTTAAAATTTATCGCAAAAAATAAAGGAGACTTGCCCGATCACGTAGCTATAAAAATTTTGAATTTTGCTTATCATTAAATGTTTGTAAAGGGTGATCAAAGTTTAAAAAGGGGTAGATGCGCGTACTTTGTATGCACTTCTGTTACATTTATATGAAACGTGGGTTGGCCAGCACGAATTTGCTGTGCACCATTGGATTCTGCAGACATTTCTGAAGAGGAACCCCCCGTGGGAAGCGTGACATCGGTTTTTCTTTGGGACAGGGTAAGAAAATGTCCGCGAACGGAACTTTCGCGCCACACGGCCATCGCTCGCCAGCCACAGATATGCAGGGCCGTGACTACGCGCTGTATAGACTTGGACCCCGGTCACTTCTTATATGTATATATAATATTTAATTGTTTTATAAATTTTCATCATAGTTATAAGAAAGCTTTTCACGATCGTTCCGTTTTAAATAATTTGGTGTATAATATAATATTTTCATATAATATAATATAAAGCAAAAACATCATTGTAATCGGTTTTTTACATGGTATATCTAATAATATCATTCTCAGTATTAAATTTGACATAAAAAACTATTAAACAAAGTACGATTTACAATGGATGTTTACTGGAAGTATTTTTATATTAACACTAATACTACTGAGTATACTCGAATATTCGTTATAGTTCCAGTAAACTTGATAAGTTTTTAAAAACATTTTACATATCTAATACTTTCAAAATATTAATAATCGACAGATAATAAAGTTTATACCCACCATCTTGACTCATTCGATAGTTTCGGTGTTAATCATCGTAATAATATTACTCGTATATGTGTATTCACATATTAAACAGCAAATTATTTAAAACGGAACGATCGTGAAAAGCTTCCTCATAACTATGATGAAAATTTATAAAACAATTAAACATTATATATACATATAAGAAGTGACCGGGGTCCAAGTCTATACAGCGCGTCGTCATGGCCCTGCATATCTGTGGCTGGCGAGCGATGGCCGTGTGGCGCGAAAGTTTTTACAAAATCCCAGTTTTTTCGAAAACTGGACCTGACCCAGCAATTTGGTTTTCGGATTCGTATTTAGGATAAAGAACTCTATAAGAATTACATAGTGGCTATTGCAAAAAACTAACATAGGTAAAAATTTGTTCCATAGTGTTATATTTGTTGACGCGGACTAATAGGAACTCACCCGATTCGTACACGGAAAGCTTGACTCGTTTCCCTGCTTTACACGAGGCGGAACATTAATTTTTAATTACCTAAAATACGAGTGCGCAAATTACTGTGCAGTATACCTTTGTTGGGGACTAACGAGTTTTATTTGATTATTCATTGCCACTAGAGAGTCGAAAACGAAACGTAATCGGATGAAATCTTCTTTGCCAGAAGATCAATGTTTGTCAAGATTTGATCGAGTATTGCTTACCGCTAATTAATAACAGTTCTTGAAATTCTTAATAATTTCACGGAAAATGTTTACTGGCAGATGAACATAGTAGACAGAAAATAAATATTACCGTATATAAAAGAGGAATATTAAACGTTCTCATAGCAAACAGATGCAATCGATAATGGTAAAAGACATTAGCAACATTTTATTCAATGGCACGCCTGCTCAATGAATATTTAAATACAGTCTTACACTTTTAATTATACTTTGTGCACTATTTTAAAGCAGAAAATCTATTTACAATAATCGGCAAACGGTAATTTAAGCGTTCTCGAAAGGAAAAAGCACGCGAAACGTTTCAACGGCATCATAAGGAATAAACTTTATAGAATTCGAACGAGTTCCTCTGGCTCGCACTTGGACGAGCGTATGCTAATTGATTTTCTACTAACAGTATAATTCCTAAATTAACATGCCACCGTCATGTCCAATTAATCATCGATCGAGATCACGTCGGGAGAGCAATCGTGTTTCTGACATATCGAGGAGGCTTCCGCCGTGGTATCGAGGTCAACGTAACGCGAGCACGCGAGCAGGTGAATTTAATACGATACCGATTCGACGAGCGGCGTGTCGACGGGCGACTTTCGCTCGCGCGTAACATTGTTACACCGATCGGTCCTCCATGGGAAACGGTTACGTCGGCGAGTTCGCGGTTTTGTAATAAACACCGACTGCGACCTTGATCTATTTTCGGCCCCCTTGCAGCAGAATGGCGCAGTTCAGCTGGAGTCGAGCTCCATCAAGGATGACGTGATCGCCTGTAAATTTTGGAGAGAGAAAACGATGGTCGTCCAAGGCTGGCAATATGACCTCGTCCACACGCCGTACAACCTTCTTATCGCCGCCGGCAAGAACTTAAGAAGTGCGTCATTTATCCTCTTTTAATTCCTGTTGTGGTTTCCGGATGATTGATGACATTCGAAACTGTTGCGAACAAGGTTGAGGACATAGTCGTTCGAGACTTTCGCTTAAGAGTTCAATAAGTCCAATATTTTTCCAAGGTTTTGCTATCATTGTATCTGGCTTCGTTAGGATGTCAACGATGCATTGATAGTGGTGTGCAATTTGTAAGACACTCTGTATAGGGCAGTGCTTTCTAACCTTCTTTTGCCTCCCCCTAAGCATCTCAATTTAGTATACGTTCGTGATCAGCGTTTGTTTCAGTAGCAGTCTTCAATGTTACAATACCTTATTAAATTCAACAAATCATCTTTTTAAAATGCACATCAAATTCAAGAAAAAAATCGCGTTAACTTCTAACACTTTACAGCATGCAGTAAGATTTTAGATACAAATACATGTGAAAGGAATTTAATTTTCTGTATCTAAGATACAAAATGTTGAGTATTACATATATGCGATGCTGATTGCGAACGTGCTAGTGTCTTTAATGCTTTGATCATTTTAATTACTATACAATAAAATAAAAGTATCTAGTAAATTCAAAATACAATTTCAACTGACTTGAAGATAGGTAGACTAAAGTTAGTGTAATTCTTGTGTATATACAATGTATAATATACATTTATGTACTATATATGAAGCCCTTAGAACCATAAGACACGCAACAAATTTACTGTCAATGACTCATTCTCGAATGTCCTCGAATTCTCGGATTAAAAAAAGTGGGTCATCTTTCTCTGACTTAGTCCGAATGCATAAAACTCCATAATCTAGTGCAAATCGTTTAATATTAGATTCAAAGAACGAGTGATTGAATTTTATAAACATTTTTTGGTAAATGTTTGATTGATGCAGCTACGCAAATACTATATACCCTAATCGTTTACTTTTAAACCTCTAATTTCCAAGATTTAAATGAACGAATATCAATTTTTCGACAAATAATATAACAAACTGCACAGTAAATGTCCACAAATCTAGTGTTAAGAAACATCCTAAATAAGAGAATCCATGGATGAAACGCTTAAACGCGTGTCGCAATGTCCAGGTAACGGCGTCGCTTTCCACGATACGGAATACTTAGCGACTGACAGCGCAAAATTGTTATCTGACGTGGGTGGTTACACAGCGGCGAAGAACGTTCTGATTCGGGTGCATGGCGCCCTGATGCTGGCTTCGTGGATCGGCTTCGCGTCGATCGGTATTCTCCTAGCAAGATACTACCGGCAGACTTGGGTCAACTCGCAGTTGTGCGGAAAGGATCATTGGTTCGCAGTAAGTATCCAATTTTTCCCGTGATCAGACGCCACGAACCGGCGCTCTCCGCCTTTAAAACTAATGACCAACTAGTTTGTGTGTGATGGCATCTATTTGGCGAGTCGAAGTGAAACGAAATTCAATGCGTCCCGAAAATACTGCTGCATTTGGTTCGACTTTAAACTTGGAAACGGAAGTGAACACCTGTATTGTTAAACATTTCTCTTTTCATACATTTTGTTAACGATGCTTCGTGGTCTAAGGTCATTAGCAAGATGATATATTTAAATATTTACACCACTTAATATACTTGAATTTAATTTACAATGTTGATATACAATATTAACGGAAGAATGTATTGAACATTTTAAACAAAATAGTTGAATAAAATGAATCACGAGTATCATGTCTGATAGAAATAGTTCATGTCTCAGACATGTCAACATTTACATAGAATGACAAGTAAAGTAAATGATGTCTTAAATGTCATTGTGTGTCAAGGTGTTAGTCATGTTACAATTCTCAAGTCAATATTTGAAGCAGTTTTGATTAATTGGTTAATATGATTGTTGGTAACAATTTTGTTTTACATTTCCTAAATAAAAGAGCATTTTAAGGAGAAGAAGATAAATAATCGCAATAATATTAGAGAAATTTAACCTTAAATTCAAATTTTAATTCATCACGATTGGGTCAGCAGAGACCCGAAGGACGTAGTGGGATTAATCGTAGGGGGCGACGAGCAGAAAGCCGATTTGATAGCGTCCGACCGTTTCCTATGGCCGGAAATGAACGGTCGACGCGGGGACGCGCGATGCCAATTTAAACGCATCCGAACGAATTAATCATTATCCTGGTATAATCAGATTTTAATTGGGAAATTTCGATACAATCGCGGTCCCTGTTCATTCCACGTGGCACGTCATCAATTATTATCTTTTAATTTTTTCATGTTATAAAACGTCATGGATTCTCGCTATGGCAACGTTCTACTTGCGATTTCGTTTATTTAACGACAGATGACATTTTGTAATCGAAGCTCTATGTATTCTCATCTAAGCGATGCAAAGGGATACTCGAGGAAAGTCAAGGGTGAAAGCATACTAGGGAACACTTAAGCTTGGCTGGTGTCCAAAGATAACATCAAGCTTATCTTTGACACTCGGGGAACACTTGAGATGTAATTTTGTTCGAAACGATTTCATGATATTTTAGTCTTAACGCTTTTAGGGTTAAAACCATGCGACCATTTTGCTTTAAAATGTATTTTGAAATGTTTCTCTGGTAATTTCTTTTTTATATTGAATTTATCGCGATGATTTTTATCTTAATTCATTATTGGTCGACGTTAACATTAATGGATAATTGTTTAATAAATCTAAATTAGTTTTCAGAACATTTAGTTTTAGACAATTAGACAATAATGCGTCAGACTCTGAAATCTGCAATAAAAAAAAGGCTCAGAAATAGCTATCATAGTTATTTATACATTAAAATAGTTTCAGTATTAAATTTCATTCCAATAGTTATATGTTTTACCACCATTTGCTACAATTAATCACATCATAGATACATATAATTTTAATACGTTACAAATGCTCCAAGAAAAATAAAACTTCCATAATTAAACCACAACTCAATTAAGTAAAAATCAATACAAGTTCCAAAATGAAGAAGCTTATATCCCTCCTCAGAACTTACAATTAAGAGGCACGAAACAATGAATATTCACCTCTAACATGCTTATCTAAGACTATACTCACAAAATAATTTCTTCTTTTTCAAATTCAAGTGGCACGCAGTCTTCATGTTGATCACCTGGTGGATGACGATGGCCGCGTTCGTCATAATATTCGTCGACCTGGGCGAATGGAGTTCGCAAAATATACACGCATCCCTTGGATTGGCTACGACGATCTTAGCGTTCCTGCAACCGTTTATGGCAGCCATTAGACCCCCTCCAGGTGCACCTCGAAGACCTATTTTCAATTGGGTGCATTGGTTATTTGGGAATGCGGCGCAGATTTGCGGCAGTAAGTTTTATCCTGATACACCATATTGTGTTTTCATATTATTTTTGTTCGTTCCCCCCTTTTCTCCCCGCACTTTCCGTTCGTTTCCTTTCTACTCGGGGACAATGGTTTAACTGGTGCATTGAAATTCCTTTCACAGTAATCGCAATTTTCTTCGCGGTCCGACTGAAGAAGGCCAAACTCCCAGAATGGGTCGACTGGATTCTGGTCGCCTACGTGGTATTCCATATTCTGACTCACCTCATCCTCACGGTAAGGACGACATCTGATATTTATAAAGCGAAGGCTCTCTGTCGCGTGCGTACTTTGCTCCGGTTGTATATTTTACCTGTACAGGTCGTTCCACTTTAGATTGTAAATGGAAATCTCAGGAATTGTGTGTCTCGTCGAATCGGAGAAATTTATTATGTACTGCGCTCACGCGTTAGCGTGGGAACCCCTCGCGCTTAATGAAGAAATCAAGATTGTTCCGTCCCTTTAATAGGATCATGTGCAGCTATCTGTTGCTTTTGTTAATTTTTCTGTTGTTCAGAGTATGCAGTTTTTAATGGATAAGTCTTAAAGTAAAAATCTTTTAACGTTCTTTTTAGAATTCAATTTTCAATTTTCAACGTTCAGTTTACAATTTTCAGTGAATTTCAGTTTCCTTCAATTCTGTATTTTAAAATTTAGCTTTCCCTCAGTAATCCTATATAGGAAGCTCTCAAGTATCCAACACATCAACAGTGAAAGTACTAATAAAGTGCAAAAAGTATATTAGCCATTTACAAACGAACACGTTTCTGCATAAGAAATTAATCAACCTTCAGTATAGAATACAACAACCACCCCAACCCTTCAGACTCTCATTACCAACAGTTATCCCATGATCGCTCTAACGGTGTTCTTCAGCCAGACTGTTCCGGCAATTATGGAGGCAGCGTTTCGAGCCAGCGATAAATAGAGACGCAGACCTCGCACCCACACGCGAAACGTTTTATCAAACGTTGTATGCATATACAACCGTTGAAATCTGAATCGTTGCGGTACCCGGTTTCAGCTATTCACGGAACGTTCTCCAATAACGAAGGAAATCGATATGTGTTATAGTTCCTCGGTTGCGCCTCCGACAAACAAGCCAGTCGGAGGGTGAATTCATTCCCGATGAAAGACATGCACTCCCGCGGCTCGATGGTCCATCCGGATGCCAGACAGGATGCCCCTGTAAGTTTCTAGGTAGTAAGAATCGGCCCGGATGCGCGATGAATTTCACCGGCAACCAGGCGATGTTTTCTCATTTCACATTCTGCCCGACAGTTCTCCGGGATGCGGAAAGTCATCTTCGGCGTGTACTTCGTGGTGATCTTCCTATTCGCCGCGGCCCTCATCGTCATCACGGTCCTGGCGCCCATTGAGGAGTCCTGGGCCAGCTTTACCAGCACTATTAAAAATTATTAAACGTTGCCAATGAAGGATACAGAATCCGCAGGACATTACATCGCCCGATTGACTATGAAGCATCAAGTCTGGACTGAAGCTTTCGGTGTTTCGTGGCAAGTTTCGAACTGTTTTGCACTCTCCAGTGATTGTCTCCATGTAAATCAGCTTGAATGCAACGTACACTGGCGAAGCGCGCATTGTCGTTTACGGGACTGTATCGGAGTGCGATTCGTATGATGATATTGTTTGACTACAACGCTGGAAGGAATTAGCAGAGACGGGGACCAGCACGTATTATCATACAAGTAGTGACGGCATAGAGAAGTGACGTAATTTAATTGTTAATACGACAATAGAGTACCTTGATACACACATCGCCGCGCGTTTTCTCATCTCAGACTGACACGGAATTTCTTGAAAATCACATTAACGCATCCGTCCATACACTCGCGACTTGCACGGAGTGCAATCGAACAACACGTTCGTTGTTCGTTTAATCGAGACCAGGAAAAGGCATTATAGATCGTCTAGAACCCTTCGAAGACATCCGTTCATATAAGGTGCTTTAATATTTAAGTTCGTGTTCATTGATAGTATATATGTTCACAGAAAAAAATATATATATATGTATTTATGATAAAATTTACAGTATTAGATTTTATAATGTATTTTTGATTTTTACACCTGTCTAGGTTAATTTTTACTGCGATCGGTATTAGCCTGCGCGCTCTTGACGTTACGAGACCGTGTCAGGCTGACCGATAGCGTAGCGTTGTTCGTGTATGTTATTGACATTGTTAATAAATAAAATATATTATATTGGTAAGAGACGCACAATGTGCGGTGTGTAACGTGATTCTCGGCAATTGAGTTGCCGCTCGGCTGCTCCACGCGAGGCTCCTCCCTCTCGACACGTAATTTTTCCCGAAGTCGCCGCATCGTTAAGACAATTTCATTCCGTCGTAGCCCCTTCAAGATTTTCGTCGCTTTGAGTTTTCCCCGGGAAAGATTATCCGTTTATCGTCCAGGTTCTGAGGAACGGGACGGCGCGGCGGTTCAACTCGATTAACTGCAAGAGGCTGTTGTTAATCGGTTTAAGCGGAATCTGAATTTACTTAAACGATAAGTGAAAGTCCCGGGCTAAGTACGGCCACCGGTGCTTATTTCTCTTTCCGGTCGACAGTCTCTCCTATCCTAGTTTACCCGTTTTCTATATTCTTTTATTGGTTTTCGAAAATTTCTACCCGATCCGACGTGCCATCGCCGGTTTCACGCTCTTTGTATACGCGTTCATTGTAGAAGCTGATTGTTAACTACAGATTTCAATTCGCCCGCTGTGACACGTTATTGTTCTGCATACCGCCGAATACCTGAATAGGCGATCCCTATATTTTAAATCAGAATTCCGGTGTGTCCAGCGTATTTGTTTGACTTTTAATAATGTACGATTCAAAATAACTTGCCGTGGTTTCCGTAATTGAATTTTTAAGTCGGTACACGATTAATACGATGTCGATCGTTTACACTTGAATATTGTTTAGGTGAATTTTCAATTACCGGTTCATTTGCGAAGAAAAAACGAAATGGGGATCCGTTGTGTTCATAACGTGTTTCATTGCGTTACTAAGCATGAAGTACAAAAATTACCCGATTAATATATTATTGGTTAACACGCAAATATTTTCAATCTAATAAACAGAATGCTGTTGATCTTTCAGTGAATTAGAGCACCAAAATTGAAATGGGATATGTTCGTTTTAAACTATTCCATTTTTAAAATGATTGGTTTGAAGAATATTCGGCTGCATCGATGAATCTTTGGATGCGGTACCCAAAGCGCTTGCAGGCCCTAGGTATTTACATTTTCATTATTCTAATGAAAAAAAAACTATAAAATTACAAAATTTTAACATTTTATTCTAGTTTCTTCAATTTCCCTCGCATAAACCGCTATCTATTTTTCTCTAAAAATATAAAAACTATCAGAGTCCCTACTTAAATAATTAAGTCTCCAAAATACACTAAATCGCAACACAGATTCTTTTATTATTTTTCTAAAAACATTACTATTTATTTCTCCAAGAAAAGTATAAAAAAAGAATGTAGTTCTCTTTGAAAAAATAATACTCTTAATCACGGAATAAATTAGTCATCTTTTCGACTTCACAACGTTACCAGGGCGTGTCACAAAATGTTTTTATATATTTCAAAAATATATTTTCGTCGAAGCAACGAAACCGATTTTTCCTCTGTTTTTCGGATGGCGACGGCCCTGAGCTCCGATCGGGAAACAGCGTTCGGGGTGGAATGTTTTCAAGGGGTTAGTAACGCGCTTCGGGAAAAAAATGGCGGCCGATCGAAGGCGGTGGCGTTATGACGCATGCCGTACGGCGACGCTCGGCGTCCCTCGGCGGCGCCACCGTCGACCAACCCCCGCAGTTCGATTGGAGACACCGGCCGGCATCGACGGCTGTTGCGGAGCTCCTTCTTTCGTCGAGTTCGCGTGTGTGCGAAACTCCTTCTGGACACCGCGTTTCTCTTCCTTTTGTCTCGAGGAACGACCGTGAGACCGTTCCGACAGGTACGACGATTCGACGGTTACTCGTTTCTCAGCGGCATTCGAATTTCACGGTTTTTCTCTTCTCTTTCCCGACCATCCTCGCCTACTTTTCTTTTTCACCCGATACGTTTCTTTTTCTATAGCGCAGGCAGCCGTGATAAACCTATAAACACTTATTCCTAGACACTTTCACACTTTATATTGCAAATTATGTTTCACGTATTTCTAAATTCCTCGTTTATTCAAATTTAATTCTGAAGATTCATCAAGACGGTTTCCATTTTTTATTTAAGTGTCAATGTTACACTTCCAGTGACACCACTGCGTTTCCGGTTCCGCTTACAAGCGGCGAACTTTAACAGAGGTTAAAGAAGCTAGGGGAGCGCAGCTCGAGGCACTCGTCAGTTGCCACACGAGCGCAAGCTCAACGGGTCGCGTCGAGGAATCGCGTCCGGTCAAGTCAGTTGTTTATTTTCTTTACCGGAAGTCGTGTTACTTCTTAACCCGCCAAATCGACGTCTGTTCGGGTATCAGTTAACCTAAAACCGTCCGGCTCCGGTATTCCTTCGCGCAACCGTAAAATTTACGAGTATTGACGATCGGTCCAACCGACTGTTTTGCCGGGTACGCAAATGGACATCCTTCCCCTTAAAATATTCTCCTCTGATGGGAGGTCTCTCGAGAATTCGGTGAAAGATACAGGCGCACGTCGCAGCACACAAAGGCGCCCGGTATATCAGTTTCGTGCCCGCGTATTTGCTACTCCACTTTTCCGTCCGCGAAAGTGCATTTCCCTTTGAGCCGGACTGGCCAGTGAAATATGCGTATCGATATATATTGATATGCATACGGTGTCGAGTGAATTTGCATCGGACATCACTGGGAAAATAGAGATCCTTTTCTGCAGTGTCCGGTGACGGATAACGGGAACCGTAAATATCGCGAAGGTTCTCATTACACGCGAGAACGAACGTTGAAACTGTAGCGAAATGTCAAAACGACCGTATTCCTTTCCCGTCGAGGACGCCGGGTCGAGTTGAAAGAAAACGCCGCGGTCTGGCTGCGCAACTCTGTCACACTGTACCTGTATACGCGGCTGCTTGTGTGCGAAGGCACGAGGTTGGCCGGTCGATGTTTTTTGATGCACCGGCACACATACCGACAGCCGGAAGACAATTGTTCAGTTTTTGTCCAGTTGTTGTTGTTTCGATACCTGATACGCTTCCCGTGTCACCTTGACACGCGTTCTCGTACCGCCTCATACCCAGTCGCTGCGAAACGGTTCACGCTCGCGTCTCGAGACACTTGACCGAGTGTCTTCGCGTTGTCCACAGGAGAAGCAGAGTAAGAGAAAAAAGTGTATTCACTCCGGACATATCATCAGTGTGTCCGAGGTGCTTGGTTGCGCGCGTTTCGCCGTAAACGTCACCGGGCGAGTGTCGAGAGATCTATTGAGGTTATAGTGCGCGTTCGACGGCGAGCACTCGATTAGCGAGCGAGCAATCGATCGAGAAGTTGGTCGCGCCGTCGAGTCGAAATGCGAAAGTGAACACTTGTCTCGGGGCGAGCGCGTGCACGTACATCGCGGGACGATGGCGGAAGTTCGTGTTTGCCGGTTCCTCGTGATCCTCGCGCTGCTCACAGTCGTATTAGTGCTCGGCCAGAATCCAGTCGAGGAGAAAACCACCTTCGAAGCCGCGTTTCAAGGTAAGTCGATTTGACATGTAAATCTGTAAAGTTCGAGTATTGAGCCTAGGACAGCAACTCGGTGTTGTCTATGATACCGCCAAATGCTCGACTTGAACTTGCACGTCTGATGAATTATGTAAAGGCTTATAATTTACTGTATCTTTTAAATTAGTAGAAATAACTGGAATAGTTTGTGGTAATATGTAACTGTCATATTAAACAAATACATTTTAAAATGTCTTTGTAAATGACAATATTTGTTAAAATTCTGACTAAGAACCAATTAGTTGACTGCTGTAGTGTACGACACCATGATCTTGTTTGGGTACGAAACAATAAATTTACTGTTCCTGGGTTAAAAATAAGTTTTGAAATTTTTTAAATCAATTTTGAAATTAAGAAAAAGCATAGAAATTCGAGCGATGATGTTAGGATTGTCAGGATTGATTTGGATCTGGCGCCATCGGTATTTCGAAGAATAGCTTGGTATTTTTGAACCGTCATAGACCACTTGATTACTAGAAATACTACATATTAACGATTGTCAGTATGTTGTCGATAATTAATTGATAATTGACACTGAGATATTGATAGAGAGAGCAGGAGTGATTAGAGTAGAATATAATAATATATCAGTTAGATCTGTTTATTCTCATTTGAGTTTATTGTTGATAAGTTAATATCTGTTAGCTCTGACGTAAATCAGCTATTTAATAGTACTTGCGCTTGGTCGAAATTTGAATTCAGTTTTTGCAAAGGTGGGTTACAAAAAAAGTTATTATATTATGCTTCAACTACGAATAAGGCTTGACTACTGTTTGATTATTATTTGCTTTATCTACTTTAAGTGTAAATGCGTATGTAACCCTAGAAGCTTTTTTATTTGGAAATAAGACTCTATGTCCTTCTATGTTTTTTACTCTATTTTTTCATGTAGATTTTTCTTTTGTAGATAATTCAGAATAAGTTTTGATATTTAGTAATAAATTTTCAAAATGTAATCTTCACTCAATTCCGTGTAATATTATGTCCTTTTAAATACAAAATTCACTCCCTTTCTTTAAACAATTATTTTCACTTGTATAAAGCATGTTTCACTTTAGAAGTCTTCATTGAAAGTAACTCTTAATTAATCTGGACTTTTGAACTACGGACCCGAGATACAAAGCTTAACGATTCAATATTTTTTACTTAACATTTTACGACTCGTGAAGGCAGTACACGTGATAAATGTTTCTGTTCTTGGCAACGAACCCCAGAAAGCCAAGGGTAGCTGCCCCATCATCCCTTTCCACGAAGGAACACGAACAATTCGTCAAAAAGTGAATAATAACTTTCAATATTGTCTTTCGTCAGTAATAAACAATATCAAAATTTTCATTACTTTATTAAAAAATTATAAGACGGTGAAATAGACTCTATACAATTATTTAAATATTTCTGTAGAAAACCGTTAGCCAATTCGGAAACAAAAATTGATATTACTAAAAGAACTGATTAAAAATGTTTCGGTTCAACTCGAAAACAAAATGGCATATTATCGAATCGTTTCGATTATCGCAAACAAGTAGCGCGTATTGTTAATAACGCGGTGCGAACGACAATACTGTCATCGACGAAAATATTATTATTATTCACGCGTAACAAGTGTATTTACAGAGCGCATCGACGTTTATTTCGATTTCGTCGCGTTTTCGTCAACCGCAATGAAAATTTTAATGCCGCCTTCTGGATTTATTTCCCGTTCCGCCATTACTGAGCCATTTGTCATCCCCCAGATGGCCGTTCGGGTAACATTTTTATAACGAACACACGCGTATCCGTGCGGGCTGAAACTTAATTAACGATCGCATATTTGCGAACCGTTTTATCGGGGCTACCGGCAAATGAATCCGTATTGACAGAATCGTTCAGACGCATTACTAAATTTTCGAAACTATTTTGAATACGCAAATGCTCCTGGCGACTGGCTGCAACGGCAAATAGTGCGCCCGAAGAGTGCTCGTGCGATTTCGAATCTGTTTCGTATTCCGTTGCGATTCATCGCCGCGCGACACGCTCGCTCCGAAATAAATCGTTTGTTCGCGTGTACAAATGGCGACGATCGATTTGAATAATTAAATCGTGTTCTTACTAGAGCTTTCTGCGATATTGAACATTGCTTGAAATGTGTCTTTCGAGTGGTTGGTCTGGACATAGAAAACCGAGTATACCAGATGAAAATGTATAATGTAATAGATAAAAAATAGATGAGTTGTTCGAAACTTTGGTATTCTTTGCGTTCTTCAGATGACTAAGAATTTTTCATGAAAATACTTATAAATTAGTTAATACTAAAAGGATGTTGGTCAATTTTTCATCAGCGTTAAAAAATTAGCGTCTTATATGAAATAATAGTGTATGTAGTCATTTATTGAAACTGCTATGCTTTTTAATCGGCAAATACGTAATCGCCAACTTTTAGAAAGTATACAATCATTAGACACAAATACTTGAAAACAGAAAATTGAAGATTTTCCTACTTTACAAAAATGTTGTCAGTAACAAGTCTTCGTTTAAAAGCCCTCAATGAGGCGTTAACGAAAAGATTAATAACAGTTTAAAGCCATATTAGAACGAAATCAAACTGAAACATAAATAATATCCTTACCTTCCAAAAATTCTTTCAATAATAAGTCCATGTTCAAAAGCGGTCGACGAGGCGTTAACACTAGGTTTACCGACATTTTTATATACCTATCTCTATTGACACGAGTCAATTTGATCCATGAACAAAATCACACA